AATGTATGTCTTCTCTGATTTGGCTGCACTAACTGCATCTGATTGATATTTGCTTTAGTACCTAGCGGAGTGGAGGCTGGAAATCCCTCGATACCTCAAGGAAATTCTCCAACATGAAGGCCTTGAGAGCGTGAGGAATCAAATTAACTGCGCTTGTGGCCAGGCTGATTGGATGAATGAATATGGGACTGGGTATCGGTGCACGGATTGCTTCGATAGTTTACTCTGGTGTCAGGCATGCATTGTGACTCGTCATGGATGTAGTCCCTTTCACCGAATCGAGGTAAGGCAATAAAAGCAATCTTTTACTTAGTTTAATTCTATCTGACACATACATAAGAATTGGACGGGAGCTTACTTCAAGAAAACAAGCTTGTACAACTTGGGCCATGTTTTCCATCTTGGTCATACCGCGGACCGTCCATGTCTTGGTGCATATTCAAATCACAAATTCACCGTCATCGATACTACTCGTATCCATACAATATCTGTGCGGTTCTGTAGATGCCATCTAGCAGTCGAGGATCGATATCAGCTTCTTCGAGCACGTCTCTATCCCGCAACAATGAACCTCCCGCAAACTGTAGCAACTTTCTCGTTCCTTGAGTTTTTCCAAAAATTGAGTTTCATGTCAAAGGTTTGGAGCTCATGTATCCACTCAAAGTGCGTGCTTATCAGATCACCAGGTATCTGCTACTGAGTACTACTCTGCAATTGAATGGATGACAGATAACACGGGCACAAGAACACCTCCAGTAAACCCGTGTAATCATCTGATCTATAAGTCTATCCACTGACTGGAAATGTACAGGTTCGCTCTCGAGAGGTTTTACGAATGATTCGTGAATGGCGACATCTACGAATGTTGAAGCATGCCGGTGTTGGATATAAAGGCGTGGACCAGGATGTACCCGGCATCTTGGCAGTCAAGTGTGCAGCCTGTCCACATCCTGGAATCAATATTCCTGGAGATTGGGCCAGCAATCGAGAGAAAATGTGAGCATATATACTGTATAACCTGTACTCATTTTACTTAGCTATTCATAGATGGTTGTACAAGGTTTTCTTCGCCCTCGATGCAAATTTCCGTCTCACCCGTTTCAACGTATCCTCTGAAGCTCGTGATCCTGGGTTCAATAAAGGAAGAGCATATTTCGTGGATGATCCCACTCTGCAGGATCATTTAGCTTCTTTTGCTGGATGTTGGCCTGCCGAAAAATCGGATTGTAGCAACCATGATGCTATCAAACTGGCGAACAGGCGAGGAGATCATAATCTTTCAACTACTGGTCTTGCTCTTGCTACTTGTGCACGTCACGATACAATTCATGCCAATTCTGGTGTTGACTTACGCCTCGGAGAAGAGTGAGTAAATTCATCTGGAGCTCTCAATAAAATTTCTGATTGATTTGTCAATACAGGTATCTGCTTATGGACTATTCCCTGCTATCTGCTATACAATCCTTTCCCAATTTACCTGTCATGGCTTCATACGACATCATGTGTCAATTTTCAAAAAAACTGTATGCTCGGATTGGATCATATCCCGACATGCTCAAAACGCCAACCCCGTTTCCTCGTTATCAACTTCTTGTTCCCAAGTTTCACCTGGCAGCTCACAAGGAATCGTGCATTTGGAGCTTTTCATACAACTATGCACCAGGAGTGGGACGTACAGATGGGGAAGGTGTGGAACGAAACTGGGCTATCGCCAATTCCTTGTCTGGGAGCACGAAGAAGATGGGTCCTGGAAGCCAACGTGATACCCTCGATGACCATTTTGGCGATTTTAACTGGCGTAAAATGATTTCACTAGGTGTGTTTTGTCCCTCATTCAAACTCTGTGTTTGGAGTTTATTGTATATGTTAGCATCACACCTCCACTCTAAAGCGGTCGAAGCAGCTACAGTCCGAGAGGAAATGGTTCGTGCATTTCATGCTGCTTCAGAAGGATTATAGGAAAGCACAAAGAAACAATGGCGCCAAATGGTACTGGCCTGGGAGGCGGATCCAGACAAGAGGATGCCTAACGCTTATGAACATACTATCAGAAGTATATCATTGCCTACTGTGACATACACGTTTCTTTGGCTGAGTGATTTTACAGAGTACACGATGAACCGCACCCGACTGGAGCTGGCCAAAGAAGATGCAGACTTGATTGGAAACGACACAGCAGCTCAGGCAGTAAGTGCTCGAATCAGTCGCAATCAGCTGATCTGCCAGGGTTTAGAGCTGGAAGAACAACTGTAAGCTGTCTCTATAATGGGTTAATGCTTGTACTCAGCTTCACCTTTCTCCAGAAGGCATCTTAAGTTTGATATGAAGACAGTCACTGAAGGCTCAACTGACTTAGTTCGTGCCAAAACGACCGAGCGGTCAACAAGCCTCCGCCGCAGAGTTGAGGTGTTTGCTGAGTTACAGGCCCTCCATATGCCCATCACTGTAATCCTTCGGCAACAACTCGCCTCCTCTGGTCAAACCCACTTTGTGTATGACCTACCCCTTTTACTTCCCTCCCAGGTCTTCCGCCTAGGCTCGTCATGTGATTTAGTGTTATTGGACTTCGAATGGAGGCTCCGTTATGCAGCAGCCCACGATGCTCTAGAGCAGATGCGTAAGCACTTACTCGAACACAACTGGTCTATTGACTGGAAACGTCAGTATGGCCATGGTGTAAGAGATGGAACTCGGTCAGCAAATAATGTAAGTAAGCTCACCGACAAGGTTGAGGCATGTGCTGCGCGGTACCGCATTCATTACGCAGTATTATCCACACTGGCAGAGAAGTTGGGCAAAGTAGGCTGGTCAGCAGACCTACGGGAGCTTCGTGACAGCGATATCAGGGCTATCTCCCGCAGGAATGAAGAGACTTTACGGCTTGGGGAAGGCTATGTCGTGACTTCATGGATTTGGAATACCTCAGGTATCGACAAAACAGATGATTTGTCACTGGCTGAGTGTTGGTGTTATCTCATTGTCATTCAACTCGAGCTAACATGTTTACTCAACTTTTCTTGAACAGGTTTACAAGTGTCTTGGTGCAAGGCCCGGGCTAGAGCATTGCGCTGGCAAGAAGAATGTGTACTACTCCAGGAGGAGATGCGATGAGTGAGAGCATTTCTAGAACACGAGGTGAACAAGTGGAAACTCAGGGCCAGTGAGGCTTCTGGTGATCCGGGTGCATCTGCTTATGCTCATCGCCAAGCAAGTATTCATGGAAATATCAAGGATTTTTGCATTGAGAAGTGGACTGGCCTTGACGCTATGCTTGCCGGTGGACTTGGGGGCATATCACTTCACGGAGAACAGTTGTTTGTCAATTGATGTACATACTTAGTGGAAAATATAGAACTGCTTTGACATCCCAAATTCAGCTGATAGTAGATACACCTCTGATGCAACGACGCAACTTCTAACCTCTCCATGCAGCTTCTTCACCTTCGCAGGTCCCTGATCTGCTCTGTCCTGTCCGATTACAGTCACGATCTCATCAATAACATCTGCCTTTAGCCACGATGGATCTGGACGCGCAAAGTCACCCTTATTTGGCCAAGGAAAGTCGGGGGCGTGCCAGATGAATACTAATTTGGGCTCAACAGACTTACCTGGGATTGTGGATAATGTGTTTCTTACCAGACCAGAGTGATTCAGGTGAGCTGCCAGTCATTGTGCAAAATTATAAAGTTGCTCGCACTAATGGTTGTACACAATTACAGCGTTATAGGTTGTTTACACAAGTATTGAAAACAATTCTTTGAATCTTGAATTTCATCTGGAGCTTTAGATCTGTTTGTGCCTTTGGCGTTGTCAAGTGTCGAGATGATTGACAATGCCAGTGGTGCGTAAGGCGATTACTCTCACTCTCATCGAATCATGCAAAGGGAGACCCTTGCACTAGAAAGAGCTTCTACTACATACAAGAGCTATACAAGCAGGACTCCAGGAGGTGCAACGTTGCTCCCTTGGAAGGCGCCGACAGACCTGCTCAAGGAGAGCGACTCGGAGCCTGAGTACGTCGTTGTTGACAAGTTGAAGGAGAAAAAACCTCGGAGGTTATTACTGGGTTATTAGTATGTATGTATGTATGTATGTATGCCAGTGGGGTCCGTCCAAGCGCTGAATATAAGGCGAAACGGGAAGAGAGTACCTACCGCTCTACCTACCATCCATCTCTATCCATCTCTATCCATCTCTATCCATCTTCGTCACTTCTCTATCCATCTTTGTCACTTCTCTATCCATCTTCGACGGTTCGTCCAACTTCTTCGTACTCTCTATTTTCGTCATGTATTGTTAAAAGTTGTGGTTGGTATAATTCGGACCTCGTTGAGTTCAGCATTGCGTTGATTTGAGTTGCATTGCGTTCAATGGAATGGAGTTCCAGCATTGTGTTGCGTTTTGTTCAGCGTTGAAACGATAAGAAAGAAAAAATATATATATTTCGAGGTTTTATTTCGAGGTTTATTTTATTGAAGTTGTATTTCGAGGTTTTATTGAAGTTGTATTTCGAGGTATTGTTTTATTTGATTGAAGACGTATTTTATTGAAGTTGTATTTGATCGAAGATTTATGTATGTGAATCTGCATGTTGTTGAAGTGTAGATATCTAGAATCCCATCCATACTGTAGCATACTGTACCCTATGTATCCCATCTAGTAACGTTATCCACTACATCTCTACCCATCTACCCATTTATCCGAACAACCCACTCCCGGGGAACAACTCCGTCTCTGATGAATCAGAGAGCGAGGAAAGAGACGACGAAGCGGATCGCGGCAGAGGTCCCTTCGCTGGTGCGGAGGAAGAAGCAGATGGGTTCGGAGAATGATGGAATGGGTTGATATCCTCCTCATCCTCCTCCTCCTGACCTACTATTCCGTCTCTTTCGTGCTCATCTCCGTCCAAAAGAGGGGATATTAAGGGAACGTGCTTTTGCGTAGTCGGAGGATGGGAAGAAGGAGGATGGGGATGGGGATGGGGATAGACAATCCCTTCCTGGGGGATTTGGTGGATCTGGATGACCTCCGTCGATCCAGGAGAATCGGGGGAACTAGGAGAGCCAGGAGAACCAGGGGAACCAGGAGAACCAGGAGAACCAGGAGAATCGGGAGGAAGTAAGGAATCCACCTCCCCCTCCCTGGATGGACCAGGTACATCCCTCGTACCCCTCGGAGGCAGATACTCAAACACCCTTGCAACGAGGTCCCTGCATTCTTTGATCCCCGTTCCCAATTCTAACCCCTCCCTCCTTTCCTCCCCCGTCCTATCGCTCCCCGTCTCCCTCTCCATCTCCGCCGTCTCCCTCCCCGTCTCTGTCTCTGCCCCCCTCCTCCCCATCTCCACCCTCCTTTCCTCCCCCCTCTCCTCCCCCCTCCCCTCAGCCGCCCTCCCCACATCCCCAACCCAACAAACCCACACTGCATCCCCCACGTCGCGGAGCACGCCGACGCAGAAGATCCCCACGAGGGCGGTGGTGAGTGCTGTGAGGAGGGAGGCTTCGAGGGGAGCGAGGGTGTGTGGAGCTCCAGTGGGAGGTGGGGCGCTGAGGGGTGCGAGGGCTTGGGTACCAGTGGGAGAGTGCGAAACGAAGAAATAGTATGTAATCAACGCGAATGGGAGGGGGAGAGATAAGCGCTCTGGTTACTTCATAGTATGGTAGTATGTTGGGGAAGTCCTCAATGGCAACTTCCGGATTCTCGCCCTTATGAAATATTCTTGTTCGGTTTTGGGCTCCTTCGCGGCCCATCTTAATATCCGAGTCACTCATCCAACATGAGAATAAAGATTCCCTGAAATTTCCGTGCCATAGCTCGTACACTGAATGGACGATATCATGGGAAGCTCCAAATGCTGCTTTATCCAACACACCATAGAGAAATTCGTCGTCCATGGACAATACTTGGCTTATCCGAACGATTCAAAATATCTCCATCTCGAGGATGTTGATGGCCGGCATCCTCATATAAAAACCTCCTGGTGTTGTGTTCTTGTCTTCTAGAGGTTTTTGGAAGTCGATGAACAATAGCCATTGGCTGGTTAACGCTGAGGTCAGAGAAGACTCAGAAATCTTCATCGACGTAATGATCCCGCAGCCCAAGGCAATCAAGGTCCTACCTACGGAGGTAATGTTCAGCCTGCAGGAAGCTGGTGAACAGCGTTTGGTACAGGTGGATTTGAAGGGGAACCTCCGCTGCTAGAAGGTATATTTTCATATCACATTACAACTATAATCTACTGAGGATACCACGTCTCGGAACTCGGAATCAAATTTTCACATATACGCCCAAAAACATTGACTGTCCTGAGAAACCCTTCCATCTGCACAAACACTGAACAGTCTATCTGTATAGTAGTCTCGGGTTTTGAAACGGAAGCTGGAGGAGTTGTGAATGTTTTGGATCGTGTCTGTTGGATCAGATCATTAAAGGTAGAATAAGTACTGAAGATTTTTGACAGCGAGGATTCCTGTGTGCATATGAGGTTGAAAGCGACCGCTCGATGGATCCCGTAAAGCTCACATCAATTTTGGATTTCTTCCCCACAAGTGTTGCGCATCGTCAAGGCCTTGGAAGCAGTTGACCCTCGAACTTGAACTTGAATGGAACGAGGTAAGACTTTCCACGTCTGCAAAAATGTTTCATGACCTCCCAAGTTTCAGATGGTTGACATACATAATAGCATGATAAGCTGATCGAGTGTCTTTGGACATAACCTTATATTATCCTATAATGTATGTAGCAGCTGGTATCAATACAGAGAAGTTTTGCCTGGAGCAAAGCCCCACGCACACACCGCTACGCGAGAATCTAATGCCCGGAGCGTCTGAGCTGTTATAAACTTACCAGCTAGACACTAAAGTAATATAAAGGGTGGGGGGGTCGGTCACAACAAAAGATGAAGGTGTAGGAGATCTGGCGGTGGTGTCGAGAGTGAGCACGAATAGGCGCCCAATAGCATTGATAACCGACAGGATCGATATCATGGCATGATAGGGCATCGGTCAGAAATGCTTTCATTTTTTTTGATGGCATAATGACACGGGCACTAATAGTTGTTGCTCCTTCATACATTGTTTTTACGTTCTCTCATCTCTCGTAGACACCTCCGTAAGCAAAGGCAAGTATGGTTCGCCCCTCGCACTGCTTCATACTGCCCTCTCCAGCCCCTCCACAGCTTCATTGTGGCAGTGTAACCTTGGTCTTTCGTCTTCGGGGCAACCTTTCAAGCATCGTGACATTCTACGAGCCTGTTGAAATAGGAAGATCTATATTCAAGCATTTTACTTGCATACTGTATGCGAAAACTCAAGTGCCTCACTCCTGTGAATGGCCGATGAAGACCAACATCTAAAAGCAGAGTCCGAGAGCTCTGCTCGTTGCTAGCTTCTTTGGCAACGTCTCTTTGCATATTGAACAACATCTCAATAGTACAGCATTGCGCTACGAGGTAAGGTTTGTGATTTCTATGATCATGTATGGCCCATACTGATCAATGGTCATGATCAGATTGTAAGGTCAATATTGTTCCTCCCGTAATGAGTCATTGTAGTCAGGAGCCAACATTCACGAAATTGTCATTCCCAAATCTACAGATTCGCAGTTCCTATCACCAACCTGAACATGAGCCTGAACCGAGAACTTTCCCTAAGAAGAGGCATTATTATCAGACCCCCCGCCGACCGCTGGCGAACTGGAATACTAGCCACCCTTACTCAACAGTCATGCCCATCGTTCAAGACGTCGCCAGATATGGGCAGAGTGAGTATTAAGAACCTTCCATTCAATTTTGGCTCGACTTTCTCGCAAAAAGCAAGTCTGCCTCAAGCACAGCGTCGAACTACGATCTTTCCAGAGATTTGCCAGCGAATCCGGAGGCTCCTGCCAATGTATGTTATTGTACATCTCACGTCAAAAGCAGGACTACTACGGATTGAAGGATTCACCAATTTCTGCTGCTCAGAATAATGACATCGTGTTTGTGCTCATTTGTCTGTCGAGTGATTGCGAGAACTCTTTTGCAGCGCTTCGTCCTCAGCCTCACACAATGGCGTGTCAGCGTGTTCACCAGCTCCAATCGTTCTATCGCCAACGAATTTCGCGACCAATCTCACCTTCAGATGGACCTGGCTGGATTTACGTCTACATCGACAATGGCAACGAGTCTAAGATCGGAATGATGAAGAACTTCAAGCGTCGTCAGCGGGGATGGGACAGAAACTGTCCATGCGCGAATAGGATCTGGTTCAAACCGATACCGACTGCGAACAGATGTAGAGCGGGTAAGTTTCCTCTGTTTCACTCTTGTTGATTTCTTCATGCTCCTTAGAATCTGTTGTCCACATTCTCCTGGAGATTCAGTGTGTCGATTGGCCTCAGCTATATTGTCATTCGTGTAAGAAATGTATGTATTTTTCTTACGATTTGTGACGCGATTCGAATTAGGCTGCTGTCAAGTCCATGCCGCGGGCCTCCATTACGCCGCTCAGTACTCCAAAGATCTGCCCCTTATTGTAATCTCACTCCTATTGTTCTTTCTCGCTACACATATCCTTTCGTTCTAGTCTCTCATTATTGTCTTTTACTCTTTCGTTCTAGTCTCTCCTACTCTACCCTACAGGTACTACTCGTATAGCTCCTAGTAGTTAGTCTGGCGCTCCGCACCGATGCGCCGTTCCGTAGATATAAATACTGCCTGTACGCTACTGTAGTTCCTCAGTTTAATTATCAACTTAGATCAACTTAGATCTCCCTTCTCAACTTAACTCTTCTCTAAGTCTGCAGGCTCAACGCCTTGGAGTACTCCCCATTATAACCTTAGGACTTAGACGTCCTCTGGTTCGCTCCTCGTCACCGGCAATACCGCCGCTCCAACCTGGCTGCTACTTAGCTTCTCTCTCTCTACTCTCGCTCTCCGGGACTAACGGCGTAACGGCGGTGTTGTTAATAACTTCACTACTGTCCCACTCGTCTTCCGCACTTAGACACCTTGTGGCTCTGGCACGGTTACACGGTGTACATGATCTTAACAGCTGCCGGGTGCACGTCGAGAAGTTTATTTTCGCTGGTCATCGCGTGGATATTCGGAGAAAGATTGTGGGGCCAGCGTTGCGGAGGGCAGTGATTGCTTGAAGGTAAGTTTTATTTTGTGTGTTCAAACTTCCAATCAGCTTACGACCAAATCGATCAGGAGGAAGAACTTGTATCCATAGACCTTAATTCTTGTATGTATTGAAGTGCGAAAACTTCCGCCTCGCGGAAGATTACTTGATTCTTGAATGAGAGATAGTGTGCCTTTTTATCGGCCAGTCAAGATAAGTAGTTACCAAGATTTCGAAAGTTCCATATACGTTCCAGTTTATTCTGCCCTACGAACGGGTGCGTTTCGAGAATTTCAAGGGTTTCTTTTTCTAGCTATTACTTGGATAATGTTTTCAATTTTCTCTTCAAGGGGACCTCTCAACCTGTTCAAGCCAGAGGCGCAGTCAAACTTCCGGTTCTATGTATTCATCGCTGAGTTATCGCTTATGCTATTTCATGTGCATGTACTAATTGTGATGTTGACAAGCTATCTAGTTGTACTGATCGCTACAATTTCGACTAGGTACATACATGTCAACCACACTGTAAATGCTGCAGGTAGATTTGAAGTTACGGTCAACGCCCGAAGAAGGAGTGACTCACGATAGTGCTGAATGCTCGATGAAGGTCCACTAGGGTGCTCGCACGGTGTCTGACCACTTCCCGATGCACTCCCAATTCATGACCATTGAGCGTCCATTTTATTTCTTGAGCTCAAATGATAACCTTAATTGTGAGACAATGGTGAAAGATAACATTATGTTTACCTCGTAATTAATCATATCAATTTTAGGCAATATTGATGATAATATTTGTCAAATTGTTCACCCGAAACAAGTAATATTTGAAGATCAAAAAAGATTTTTTTTAATGCGTAGGAAATATTTTCTTTGTAATTACATATGTCATGCAAATTTGGAGCCAAGAAAGATCATATTGTCGTTTTCCTGGTCCGTGTGAAATCATGTTTGTTATTTGGGTAGGTATTTTACTGGAAAAGATAAACTATTTTACTCCTTGGGATTGAAATCTTTTTCGTGTGAATATTATAGGGTCCGCCGTAGTGTCATCAAATACGGACATTTTTTCAGATTTTTTCATTTGACTTTCATACCTGGTGCGGACAAATCGAATAAATATTTCGAGGTTGATCCTGTTCGGACACCGCTTTTATACCGGCCCGAGAGAGCTTGTATGTCCTGATTTGTTTATACCGCGCGGCGGTTTTGCAACGTATAAATGTGTATGCAGCGGGCGGGGGGCAAAGGAGCATTTGAGGCTTTATACAGAATTACCATCTCTTGTACATACATCTATTCTCAAATCAACTGTTTCTTCTCAATGGACAGCTGGGATAGCTCAGTTATATACCTTGATGAAGACAATTTCAGACCTACTGAATGGATTAACTGTGGCAAAACCTGGCCCGCAGATCCCCTACCCAGCCTTTTTATGGCTCGTGCCAAGCTTCTTATGGTCCCACCTGATGCATTCTCCCCATTCTTTCCCATGGATCCTATAGGGGAGTAGAGACAATATTTTCACGGCAATTGCATTGTATGAGAAGCGGTCGAAGAAGGATTCAAAGGAGAATGATGTAGAAGAGTGGTACTGTCATAAAGCATTGTATTCCGCTGAGGAAAACGAAAAAAAATCAATTATTAATATATGGACCTTGATACCAAATGTTCGGACAAAAAACAAAAAATTTTCACTACACCCGGAGGTAAATCCGGACACGATTTCAGGTCTTTGTACGGACAAATTTTCAAAAACTTCGAAAAATTTGGTATCCAGGTTCCTCGGGATTTTGGGGGGGTCCTGTTTTATTTCGAGGTTTTATTCCGAGGTTTTATTGAAGTTGTATTCCGAGGTTTTATTGAAGTTGTATTTCGAGGTATTGTTCTATCTGATTCTGATTGAAGACGTATTTGATTGAAGACGTATTTGATCGAAGGTTTATGTACGTGAATCCGTATGTCCATGTTATTGAAGTGTAGATATCTAGAATCCCATCCATACTGTAGCATACTGTACCGTATGTATGTACCCTATGTATCCTACGTAGTGAGTAACATTATCCACTACATCTCTACCCATCTACCCATCTACCCCCCTATCCAAACAACCCACTCCCAGGAAACAACTCCGTCTCTGATGAATCGGAGAGCGAGGAAAGGGACGACGAAGCGGATCGCGGCAGAGGTCCCTTCGCTGGTGCGGAGGAAGAAGCAGATGGGTTCGGAGAATGATGGAATGGGTTGATATCCTCGTCTTCTGCGTCTGCTGCTGCGTCGTCTGTGTCTGTGAGGTCATGGGAGTCTGTGAGGTCGTGGGAGTCCGAAAGAACAAGACGAGCACTCGGAGGAACCTGAGGAACCGCCTCCCGTCCCTGTTTCAGAGGAACATACTTCTGAGGTGTCTGAGGTGTCGGAGAAGGAGGATGGGAAGAAGGGGTATGGGGATGGGGATGGGGATGGGGATAGGCAATCCCCTCCCGGGGGATTTGGTTGATGTGGATTACCTCCGCCGATCCCTCCACCTCACCCTCACCTTCTCCTTCTTCCCTCGGACTCGAAGTACCCCCCATATCCCTCCTATCTCGAGTACCCCTCGTACCCCTCGCAGGCAGATACTCAAACACCCTCGCAACGAGGTCCCTGCGTTCTTTGATCCCCGTTCCCAATTCTAACCCCTCCCTCCCATCCACCCCCCTCGCCTCCACCCCCCAACCCCACTTACCTCCCTCCCCTCCGCCTCAGTCCCCGTCTCCTCCACCCTCCCCCTCCCCTCCGTCCCCGTTCTCTGGAACCTCCTCGCCCCCGTCTCCATCTCCCCCCTCCCCACATCCCCAACCCAACAAACCCACAGCGCATCCCCCACGTCGCGCAGCACGCCGACGCAGAAGATCCCCACGAGGGCGGTGGTTAGGGCTGCGAGGAGGGAGGCTTGCCATGCTTCGAGGGGAGCGAGGGCGAGTGGGGTGTTGAGTGCCTGTGGTGCTCCGAGGGGAGGTGGTGCAGCTTGGGGTGGGGTATTAGTGGGAGGTTGGGTACCAAAGGGGGTGTAGGGGAAAAGGGAAAGGGAAGTGGGAGGTTGGGTACCAGCGGGAGAGTGCGAAACGAAGAAATAGTACGTAATCAACGCGAATGGGAGGGGGAGAGATAGGGGTGGGGAGAGGGGGGAGAGGAGGGATGGGAAACTGGTTAAGGGTCCTCCGAACCCTCCTCTTAGACCTCCTAGTCCTCTTGAGCCTCGTGATTCTCCTGAGCCTCTTGAGCCTCGTGATCCTCCTGGTTCTCCTGACCCTCCGAACCCTCCGAACCCTCCGAACCCTCCGAACCCTCCTAGGCCTCCTGATTCTCCTGAGCTCAAGTGAAGTTGAGAAGAACCACGCAGGGAAGAAACGGAACCACGCAGGGACGCAGTGCGAAGCGTGGCAGTGCGATACGACACCCCGGTGAGAGCGATGTATATCTGTGGGAAGGGGGAGGTGTGGGGGATGTGGATGAGGTTGGTGAGGCGGCGGGTGAGGAATTGGGTTAGAGGGGAGAGCGGTACACGAAGGAATCCAATGATTCGGAGTACAGGAGAAAGCCGGACTAATCGAAGAGGAGAAAGAGGGGAAACCGGGGAAGGCAGTATCGAAGAACCCAAAGCCATACAGAAAAAAGAAACCAAAGAAAAGAGTAACGCGGGAACACCGAGTAACAGGACTCTGATGACCAAGGAAAGTGAGGAGAGTGTTGTTTCGCGGAGGGCGGAGACGACGATGGAGCCGAGGGAGGAGTGGGATGCGCGTGTGAGGGCGGAGAGGAGGAGGAGGGAGGGGGGAGAGGAGGGGGATGGGAGGGGGGATTGGTTCAAGTCCAGGTCCGGGTCCAAGTCCAAATGCAAGTCCAAGTGCGCTTCCAAGTCCACATCCGAGGTTAAGGGTGGTGCCCACGGCACCCCATAATACCACCCCCCCACGACCGCTGCGGTGGTGACCCTCAACACTCCCCGAGTCACACCCCACGTCCACACCCACACCGCTGCTGCGAAGAGTGTCCAGGGTGTTGGTGCGGTGGATATTACGATGGCGAAGGGGATGGAGAGGAGGAGGAAGGAGAAGAGGAGGAGGGGGCTGAGGAGGGGGAGGAGGAGGGAGGGGAAGGAGGGGTGGGGGTATGCAAAAAGAAGAAAAGTCGAAAGCGAGAGCAAAGCATGTGTATGGTTAACCTGTGCGACGAGGCGTGGAAAGGCGATGTAGAGCGTGTACAGGCTGTGGAGGAGGTATATACATATTAGAATAGGGAGGAGCGAGAGGAGTCGGAGAGACAGAATATAATCACTGGTAGAGTAGGAGGCGAGTAACCCCCACACCCCAGATCCCAGCAACAAAAGCGGAGTTCCGAGTGCGCTGAGGAACATCACTGGACGCATCCATAAGCGGAGAAACACAAGGTGCAGATACGAAGCAAAGGCGGAGAGGAAGATTAGTGGGATTAGAAGGGGGAGGGTGGGTAGTAGGACCCTACTCCCAATCCTAGTATTACTTGTGAAAGAGAAGAACAAAGCACTGAGATAACAAACACAAACACACACTCCCCAGATCCACGTCCATACTGCGTCCTGGGTCTTGCGAGGACGACGACGACGGGGAGAGGGGAGGTTGAATGATGTGGGTTCAGTTGGGGGAAGTAGTGATTCTGATAACGAGTCGAAGGCGTTTGTGCGTGGGGGGATACGAAGCCCGGAGGCGATTAGGCCAGAGGGTAGGTCCCCGTCTTCACTCCCACTTTCACTCTCCCTATCCTGGTTATCGTTACCCTCCTCCCTCGGATCCCCACCCTCGTACCCCTGATGCGCCAACCACCCATACCCATACCCAGACACCCCACTCCCACTCCCACTCCCACTCCCCAAATGTGGATCGTCCGTGTCGAAATCGTATTCATCCCCTCTTCTAGTCCCAGTCCCTCTCCCAGTCCCAGTCCCAGTCCCTCTCCCTATCCCTATCCCTATCCCTCTCTCCTCATCCTCATTCTCGGCATCAGATCCCTCTGAAGTAGTAAACGAATAAAACAACGGCTCGACACCCGACTCCGTCTCCGTCCCCGTGTTGGTATTGGGATTGCCACGTGCGTTGGTGAGGAACTGCGATGCGTATGCTGCGAATGAGGATGCCATTACGCGAGTGTCTGAGTCTGAGTCTTGGTGGTGTGAAAGTGGAAGTGGTTTGTAGTTCGTGGTATGTGTTTGGCGATGGTGTGTGTGTTTGAGTTTGTGGTATGTACTCTGTACTTCGTGGTTTCTGGTGCTAAGAGTGGAAGTAGTCGTAGAATCGATGAACGTATCTTCGAACCCCTAGTAGAAGCCTGAAGAAGTTCGTGTACCTATATCCGGATTCCTTCAGTTTCACTCCGTACGCGTCATTTTCATTACCAACCATCCCACGTGCCCTTCCCTTCTTCCCACCCTCTCTCCCTCTTTTCCTCTTTTCCTCTTTTCCCCACACCCCCAAAAAGATATCTGCCCCATGGCTGAGTTGGTTACAGCGTCCGACTGTTATTGCACGGTATACGCATCATATCAATCGGAAGGTCGAGAGTTCGAGCCTCTCTGGGGCAGTTATCATGTCATCGGGTATTTTTTATATGCTTGCTCAAGTGTGTTGTTGGTTGTATGTTTTTTGTTATTTTTGTGGTTTTTTGGTTTTTTGGGTTTGTTTTTGTGTATAGTGAGCTCATCAAGGTCATCATGGTTATCACACTGTGAGGAATCCATCATTTGAGCACTCTTTTTGAGACATTTTCCATATCTGCATTCTTGGGAGGTAAAATTTGCTTCAATTTGAGCGGTAGCCTTCTCGGAAAGAATCCTTCTGGTGCAGGAGTGAACATGTTCACCAGGTTTGGTCTTTTTCAAGGTACTGTTAATGCATCAATAAATGAACATAGATGACAATGGAAGTTCGTACGTGAGGTCTTCTGAGCAATGAGGACATCTGTTTTCATCATCAGGTCTTTCACCGGGATAGAATTTTTGACAGATTATCCGTTCCGGCTGCGCGATAAAAACATTGACCAGTGTACAACAATCGGTGACAGGATCGCCACTATCGAGATCCTTGACCAGACTTGCGAATGAAGATTCAATCCTATATTGCTTGTCATCTAAGCCACCAGCACTCATGCCCAACACAGGCTCGGTCTAATGTAGAGACAATTTGAATAGAGTTTATATGTTAGTATTATGGATTACGCACCGGATTGACCATTTGGCGGACGGCAGCTTCATCGAAGAATTTTTGACGAGCTTGTTTGATACGCAGATCTGATTCACGCAAGTACATAAAACAATAGGTGTTTGAGGCTTTGGCTGCAATTTGACGCAACTCAATGATTTGATTTTTGACTTCTTCAGATTGCTCGTCAGCTAGCAATTGGTGAATCTTGTTCGTGGCTTGAGTAGATTGGATCAAGTATTGTAAGCTATCCGAAGTAAAAGTTCATACCTCATCCTTTTCGTTTTGTAGCTTGACAAGTTCCGGCTCATTCAATAGTTTCGCCCTCTCCTCCAAAGACAGATGTTGAGGTGCATTAGTATCTTGACCTGATGAGGCAGCGATAACTGTCTAAAGGTTTCGTCAGGGAAGGGGATTTCAACCAAACGTAAAATCAATGCCTACCCGAAAGAGTGTTATTCTATTTTCATCCTGACCTCTACGATTAGATACAGCGGATAGGTCAGCGGTTATGGTTTTCGACTTGTATTTATTCTATAATTTTCGTCAGTCTTTAATCAAGAGACGAAATAGATCTACTTGCAAAGTAAACTTTGGAGTTTGGGTCATGCAACATTAACGTCTTTCTCACAGTTTCCCCAAGATCCACATCTGCTTTGTTTCCCTGAGACGCACGAAAGTCATATGGAGTAAGGGGTTCTAAATGTGATAAGATGCCAGCACACAAAAGAGAGAGCAGTTGAACCTACCTAGGAATCCTGCAGCAATAGAAAGTGACTTCAGATAATGAAGTAATCCATCATAGGCAAATGCCTCAGTCTTCAATATCTTGCCACCTCCTCCCTTTTCCTCCTTTCGCAACACAGGAAGAGTTAGCACTTCGTTTCGAAGAAAAATCTTGACTCGTGTGGTGGGTGGTTTTTCGGGGCAAAGGAGACTCTCGATAGAGTGGAAATGAGCAAAGACTGAATCATGGAATGTGAGACATAGAAGAGGCAGAACAATACATGTCATACGATGCTCCTTGCGAAGTTCGAGAGTGAACAGCAGTTTTTGATATCGGTGGTCCATGTCGCGATAACCCTTGACAAGGTTGAGTTGAATGTCGACGACAAGGGAGGGATGAGCCGGATCCTCATCATCAGGAATAAGATAAAAGTCAACGTCACCCCAGGTGAGAGCCTCGTTGGAACCGCAATAACAAGCTGATTCAATGACAGAACCAGGATGAGCAGCAGAAGCAGCAGAAAAGAGAATGAGGAATGCCATCTGCAGGCGAGTTTGGTTAGAGCGAAAGATATTTGTGGCCGAATGAAGAGTCTCCATGATGATTTGAAGACATTGAGGTTCGATGTGCTTCAATGTCCTAACCTTGGTTGAAAGTTTCACTAATGCCTGCAGTTCCTCAGATAACAGATAGGAGCGCACTTGGTAGCACATTTCCGGAGTTGGATGAACATTTGCGTAGCGAGGCCAAAGTGCAAGGAAGGTGTACATATAGCCCCTCAGGGTTTCCAAACGGATGAACGTGGAGGCATCTCTACCAAGGAGGGCAGATGCTAAATAGCAGACAAAGTCCTTCACATATTCTGTAAAACATGAGTGAGACGACTGCATACAATCAGATGTAGACGGACCTAATGGAGGCAAGGGTGTTCCTATAACAATTTCTGCAGGCTGGGCTTGTTTCTCGGACCTGCCTTCTTCAAAAATTTCTTGAACGTACACCGCAAATTCTCTATAATGACCTTTGACATTTTCATGATTATGGATAGTTGGACGTGTCAGCTTCTTGTAGTGGTGAACATCGCGACTAGACTCAAAGTGATCTCTGAGAGCTGAATTGTTCTGGAGGCGCTCCCGTAGGACCTCTCGGTTGGAACGCTTTGCTTTGTAGGTGATCCTGGAGGGCGCGGCTATGGTAGTAGAAGGAGAGAAAGAGGCAGAGAAAGTTGGACGGTGATTACTTCAGCAAATTCCCTGCTCGAGTGATGACATCACTGCAAAGAGGAATGACCAAAGGCAATGTCCAATTATAGCCCAAGAATTTCTCTGAAAATGGAACCGGACACGCCGTACCCAGCTTTGAGGTGGGTAGTTCATTTTCGGAGCAAGTCTAGGGCTACAGCTCGAAATCGACTTTGGATCCTAAGCGCGCGTGACATTGCGAGCATTGGTCGAGGGTTTTGCTCCCAGGCGAGTAGCATCTTTAAATGACGAAATGTCCAATTACTGTATACAGAAGGAAGCACGACAAATTTAGTCACGGGTGACATTGAAGTAAGAAGATACACACTGGTTAATTCTCGCGTGATAGGAAGGCATCTTCGGTTTCGTCCATGGCTTTGGGTACGAGAGTCAATGGACGAGGGATTGCTAGTGGTAGTGGTAGGAACGCGAGCATTATTATTGGAGCGCGTCGGTGTGGGTGTAGAGGGAGGTTGGGGAGAGGTGGAAAGGGGGTGGAGTGTGGAGAGGTGCGAGGAGGGGGTCGAGGTGGTGATGTAAGGAACAGCTGGAGCGGGTATTGGGACAGGAGAGGAGCTTGTGCTTCGGATTGGACGTAGGGATCCGCGGAGGTAAGTAGAGAAGATAACGTGAGAGGGGTTTTTGTCGTTGTTGTTGTTGTTGTCCTCGGTGAGAGAGACGGAGGAGGCAAGGAGTGATAGGACATCGAGGGGAGGTGGGGTTGGGCGGGAGGGGAGGAGCGATAGGACAGGGACTGGGGCGGCGGAGGCGAGGAGGGAGATGGGGAGGGCGGCAGAGGAAAGGGAGACGGAGACGGGAAGGGAAAGCGAAAGGGAGGAGACAGGGCTGCGCCTAGGCACAGGGATCAAAGAACGCAGGGACCTCTTTGCGAGGGTGTTTGAGTATCCGCCTCTGAGGGGTATGGGGGATGTACCTGGTACATCCAGGGAGGAGGAGGTAGATTCCTAACTTCTTCCGGATACGGATACGGATGGGGATGGAGAGGGTGAGGGAGAGGTTATCCACATCCACCAAATCCCCCGGGAGGGGATTGCCTATCCCCATTCTCCTTCTCCAATTCTTCCAACTACACAAAAGCACGTTCCCTTAATTTCCCCTCTTTTGGACGGAGATGAGCACGAAAGAGACGGAATAGTAGGTCAGGAAGAGGAGGAGGATATCAACCCATCTACTTCCTCCTTACCCTTCCTCTGCACCATCTGCACCCTCTGCACCTTACCCTGCACCATCTGCTTCTTCCTCTGCACCATCTGCACCGCCCCTGGCACCACCACTATTGTTGAATGTACCACAGGGACGTGTGCCACTGCCATGGTCCCCCGCTTTGTCGTCCCTTTCCTTGCTCTCCTCATCGGGGGAAAGGGAGGAGGGGGGGGTTTTTTGGGAGTGGGTTGTCCGGATAGAGATGTAGTGGATGGGATAATGCTCCTAATGTTCCTACGTAGGGTACGTAGGATACATCGGGTACAGTATGGTAGTCTACCTAGTAACCTACCTAGATATCTACACTTTGTCAAGTCCATGCCTCGGGCCTCCATTCCGCCGCTCGGTACTCCGAAGATCTACCTTTTATTGTAATCTCTCTCTTATTGTTCTTTCTCGCTACACATACCCTTTCGTTCTAGTTCCTCCTTATTGTCTTTTACTCTACCCTGCAGGTACTACTCGTATAGCTCCTAGTAGTTAGTCTGGCGCTCCGCACCGCTGCGCCGTTCCGTAGATATAAATACTGCCTGTACGCTACTGTAGTTCCTCAGTTTAATTATCAACTTAGATCTCCCTTCTCAACTTAACTCTTCTCTAAGTCTTCAGGCTCAATGCCTTGAAGTACGTTCCCCTCGACCTTAGGACTTGAATGTTCTCTGGTCCGCTCCTCGTCATCGGCGATACCGCCGCTCCGACCTGGCTGCTACTTAGCTCCTCTCTCTCTACTCTCGCTCTCTGGGGACTAACGGCGTAACGGCGGTGTTGTTAATAACTTCACTACTGTCCCATTCGTCTTCCGCACTTAGACACCTTGTAGCTTTGGCACGGTTACACGGTGTACATGATCTTAACAGTATAATTAAACTCAATCCGTTAACGTCGTACTGACATATCATTTTTTATGCCTCCGAAAACTCGAGCTCAATCTAGAGCTAACTCCGAAGAAAATACTTTCTTCACTACAGCCCAATCATTTGCCCCTTTCTCCGAATCTATCTCTGCCATTGGTCGACCACGTCGCCGTAATCGCGGTTTCGGTCCAGCTACAGTCCCTACTATATCGACTCTTCCTGAAGCCATGGAAGAAGAACAACAATTTGAGTACAGCACCTTGTACACCGGTGACGGACAACCTGTCCAAGTCCTGACCCCTTGCCGTGGACAACCCCCCGTGGTCGCTCCGGCTCGGGGCCGGTCTACTACTCGAATTGATTCTCCAATCCTCCAAGCCATAGCCCGCCGTACGGGGAAACAACCCCAACGTCGCGCTGCTTCTGAATCTCCTCGTGACCCACCTCCTCACTTCGATTTGGACACTGGTGATCACGATGATCAAGACCCTCCTGTCGACCCCGACGATCCGGGCGCCGATAACAATCATGACGATCTGGATGACGACTCCGGCGGTTTACCGCGTGGTGAGCCTGGTGACCCCAGTGGACCTGGTGGACCTGGTGGTCCCGGTGGTCCCGGTGGTCCTGGTGGACCTGGTGGACCCCGCTCTCCTATCTCTCCTGACATCCCCAACGAGCAACGAGCTATGTTGGAACTTCTCTCGGGATTCAAGGGTTCCATTGAAACCCTCGGTACCGTCCTCGCCGCTCTCGGCCGTCCCTCTGACAGCTCTGAATCCAAGAGCAAGGTCAAGGAGCCAGAGGTATTCGACGGTTCGGATCCCCGAAAACTCAAGACGTTCTTCGTCAATCTCGCCCTGGTCTTTAATGACCGTGCAAAGTATTTCACCGACCAACAGAAGGTGAATTACACCCTTTCCTATCTCAGTGGGTCAGCCAAAGAATGGTTCGTCCCTGATATTCTCGACCCGGATGTTAAGATCATGTACACTGTGTAACCGTGCCAAAGCTACAAGGTGTCTAAGTGCGGAAGACGAGTGGGACAGTAGTGAAGTTATTAACAACACCGCCGTTATGCCGTTAGTCCCCGGAGAGCGAGAGTAGAGAGAGAGGAGCTAAGTAGCAGCCAGGTCGGAGCGGCGGTATCGCCGATGACGAGGAGCGAACCAGAGGACGTTCAAGTCCTAAGGTCGAGGGGAACGTACTTCGAGGCATTGAGCCTGAAGACTTAGAGAAGGGTTAAGTTGGGAAGGGAGATCTAAGTTGATCTAAGTCGATAATTAAACTGAGGAACTACAGTAGCGTACAGGCAGTATTTATATCTACGGAACGGCGCATCGGTGCGGAGCGCCAGACTAACTACTAGGAGCTATACAAGTAGTACCTGCAGGGTAGAGTAAAAGACAATAAGGAGAGACTAGAACGAAAGAGTAAAAGACAATAATGAGAGACTAGAACGAAAGGATATGTGTAGCGAGAAAGAACAATAGGAAGAGATTACAATAAGGAATGGATCTTCGGAATCCCGAGCGGCGGCATGGACTTGACAGTATCCCCCTCTTAGGCTTGAGCCCTCGAAAGCCATTAATACCGGGAGTTGGTTAGTCACCAAAGAAAAATTTTAATGGCCGTCAGGATCGGGAATTTGGCCCATCAGTCAGCAGGAAAATTTTCAAAAGCCGGTAGTACCGGGAATTGGCGTTAGTCATCAGTGAAAATTTTCGGTTCACCGTACACCAAGTACAATTCGAAGGAAATTTTTCGCTGGTCCGTGCGCAATTTTGCTGTATAAAAGGCCCCGAGTTTCGCCAGTAAGACCCAAGTTTCCAACACTTCCAAGTCCACCATGTCCGCCAGCCGAACCGTCACCACTACCACGACCGCCACTTCTCCCAACGCCGGCCCTTCCCATTCGCGCCCCGTACCCCCGTCGCCCATTGACCCTGTCGATGACGAGGACGACGACCAAGAAGACGACGATGTCGACGCCATCATGCAGAGGGCTCGGGAGCGGGTACGACGTGTGCAGGAGCGAAAAGCGGCGAAGGCGGCGAAACGAAAAGCTGAGGAAGCAGCTGCAGCCAGGGAGAAGGCAGCGAAGGAGGCGCGCGAGCGGGCCCTTAGGGCGAGGCGTCAAGTGGAGGAGGTGGTTGAAAGGAGGAGACTATTGGCTGCCGCTAACGAGCTTGCCTCGTTTTTGTGTGAAAGAGAAAGGAAGGAATCTAATGGGCACTCCAACCAACCAATCTAATACACAATATGCGAGTTCACTGCTATCAAATTTATTTAATAGCAAGGGGTAGCGTTGGCAAAGGTTCCGCAAAGCTTTGAGAGCTAAGTACGAAGCTTTGATTAATCAATTTGAATCGTTCTAAGGATTCGATATATGCCTTTGATCAAGGTAGATTCAGCACGATTTGTGCTTTGGTTTGTATTGATTTGGGTATATCAAGAATTGGGGGTTGGAATCAAAGTAAATTAAAACCGAAACACACAGACCCCTCGGAGGGCTAGAACTATGTGCTGGCACAACCACACAGCGTGATTTGCCCTTAAGACCAACGACTGATCCTAAGTTCGAAGAATACCCAACAACTGGATATACTTCTCGCAGTCACAAGGAGCAGAACACGACGTTCCTATACTCACAAGTGCCGGGCCCGAATGGCTGCTAGCGAAGAGGTTTCAGTCTGGCGGGAGTGTGTCTTTCCTTTTTACGGATTAGCACTGCAACGTCGTCCCAAAATCACTTGTATTCCAGATACATCGGATCGCTATTTATACATACAGAATATAGAGTCGCATAGTACAATTAATTTAATACAATAAATGTTCGGAACCGCAAGGAAACTTCTACACTCAGTCAGATACCATTGAATTCGAATCTACATGTCCTTATTTGGTCCATATTGGTTCCAAGATTCTAGTATACCTCCAAACATAGGTAGGTACTTCAATATTCATTTAATTTAATTGTTTTTAGAGAATGACTCGAATGGTGTTCAACTGTCATTGCGGTTCAACACTTACTTCGATCGTTTGTCATCTCGTCCGGAGGCAAATCAGCTCTCCTCGATTCTAATCCTATCAATCTGATTCATCTGGATTAAACTAATTGCTTCTCTCTTTCAACAGACACCCATTGTGCCTATACTCTATCAAGGGAGTTACGCATAGTATTCATTTAATTGCATTCTTCAATGTTTTCTACGTCAGGACTCTTTGACATTCATTTGATATGTCTTCGGAGCCTCGCAGTCTTTCGATCGTTCTTCTAGTCATTTTACTCAACCCTGCAACTTGATTGGTCTATTAGACTAAATCGCAGTCCTTTAGATTAATGCATGATCTTGTTCTAGAAGGAGTATTTGATAATTCCTGAGTTCTAGAAAGTCATTTCGAGTCAATCCTCGGTTCATGGTCACTTGAGTAAGTTCTTCCAAACTCCTGCCAGTGTAAGGTCCAATAAGAATACCCTTGGTATGTCATACGTGAATGGTCATCCTTCGGATGTAGTCCGAGTCTGGTATAATCCTGCTTGACAAACAGGTAGACTGCTATCCGAAGGTAGTATCGGGGATGGGTAAACTAACCAACTTGTGGTAGTATGGGTATATGGTCCCTTCAACTTATTAGACTGATTCAGTATTGACTTTGACTGTCAATCTGGGTCTCAATTACAGTCCTCTTGATACAAATCTATACGTGAAAATGTCACAATTCACAGCATAGACGTCTAGCCAAAATTTAGGCGTGTCATCCCCCCCAAACTAAAGAATTTGACCGTCCTCGGTCATCCGTAGTTTTGTATAGGGAAAGGATACCCAATCTGTTATTAGATTGATTCGACAAGACTATATCTCCTTTTAATGTAAATCACTGGGTTTGGATCTCTACTTCTCCGTGCTCTCCAATCAATTTGGATGCCCTCAAATGGGTTTCTAGCGCTCATCTTATCAATTTATTCACACGCCTGCTACGAAT